TTCGTCTCCCTAGTCGAAGTCTTCTTACTGGCCCAACCCAACATGCATTTTAGAGTGCCATGCCAGGGCAATAGTCGCTCCGCCAGTCACGCACGATCGCTAAAGCCTTTCTTGGCTACGTAAATATAGGGCCGGAGTAAGTGCAAGATCCTCAACAAAATGGATTAAGGTAGGCTTCGGATTTTTCATAATTTTTTTCTATCGTTTCATCAAGTTCTTGTTTGATCTGCCGCTATTATCACAATATCCCTCCTTATAGGGTTAATGCTATCAATAGTGAATCGATCATTCGCTATCCTTTTTTTAGAAGAGCTTTTTTGAATGGAAGAAAAGTAATGAAACCCGCGATGGCTACTGAATAACCTCCTTTGAATTTTTTTATAATAAACCCTTTTACCTTTTTCTTCGTTCGCCAAATCTTCTTCAGTTCTATCCAAGCTCGGTTTTGTCTGAATCTTTGTGGAAGAAGAAGCGGTTCGCCAGCCGCTACATCCAGGGATCCCACAGAATCATTAAACCTGGCGGCTGCTCGCTCTTTGATTAATGATTCACCGGCCACTAGATCGATGAAGAATCTCTCAAAAATCCGCTTTTTGATCAATGATTCACCAGCCACTACATCCTTGGATCCCACCTTATTCTCAAACCTGGTGGCTCGCTTGATTGACAGTCCTGTAAGCTCATCTTGCATACAAATTTTGGGGGTACCAGGGCCTACATCTACCAAGAACGTTTCTTCCCTTAAGCATAATTGTAAAACTGAAGATTGTGAGGCATTTCCACTACATAATAAGAAACTAGAATTAGATCTTGGAAATGATCGACTCCAGTAGATGCTCATCATAAGCTTTGTTTTCCTCCTATTCCTATTGATCAGAAGTATCCAGCAGCGCCACGCCAGAGTGACTTCCGAAGCAGTACAGACGGGACGAAATGCGGCAGCTAGTTGCTGGCTTTGAATAACCAGCCCAGCAAGAAGCTAAATTCTTCCGTAACATAACATAACGGGGCGGGGTTGCGCGCGAGCCGAGTGACGTAGGTTCACAAGAGTACTTCGTGCCACAACCATCTCTTTTTTATAGGTTCTATGGACCGATACCTCCTGCTTCATCTGGTAAAAAAGAGTCATAGATATGCCTGTAATTGGAAGGAAGAACCACCATAAAAATCTTTGTCGTGTATCATCTATAGCGGAACTATGAACGGGAGCTAGCAATCCGGACCGTATTGAAAAGGTTCCTAAGACACATCATGGAAGAGTCAAAATATTCAGAAGCGAGGTCCAAGAATGAAGAAGGGGTAGAATTACTGAATGAATACGAGCTGTGGCTAATACCCGAGGCATAAAAGATGCATTTTCTACGGGATCCTGAAACCACCAGCCACCCCGACCTAATTCATGATGAGCCCACCAACTTCCTGGTGAGATGCCTACTGTGAAAAACAACCGACATGTCAAGATCCAAATTCGAATTGGTTCCTTGTCCTAGTCAGATACCATCGTGTTCGCACCGGCGGTCCAACAAAGAGGCGAAGTAGTGGTGTCTTTCTTTCCATTATGAATGACACACTTTGTCTGCTCCCTCCCCGTGTCCATTAGCGCTCCTGTCCAGAGCGAAGAGAAGGCGAAAAAGCACTGCCGAAGCTGCATGAGCAGGCTTCTATTGCTACACAACAATAGAGCAGGCGCCCGCCCACAAAATGTTTGAATGATCGGGTAAAGAGCGAGCTTCTTATATGGGATCCGACGCATCCAGCAGAGCGAAGCAGTGTTCCATTCTTTTCGGCGGCATCCTTCCGCATTGGCGGTGAGTGGAGTGCCACAATCCCATTCATCATTTTTGATCTACATAACCCAAAGCCCATAGCACTAGCGACATCTTCGGCATAAATGCAAGGAGGATGTATAGCTGATATAGGATTTTGTGGAACTGGATTTGATTCTACAAGCGGTTCGGTACGAACAAAGAAATTTTGAACAAAAGGATCGGATCGCTGACAGGAAAGGAGAGAAAACAAAGTAATGCCAAGAGCTCCATCAATCTATTGTTCATCAATAGACGAAGCTCTCTCTTTGTCATCTCATGCCAGATAACAAAAGATTAGTCCTTTTTCCTTCTCGTGAACCACGGGTGCGCCTAATGCCCAGAAGAGCAAAGATCATTTTCAAAACAGGGTCAAGCGGCGCATTAAAAAAGGGCTGGCCCGTTAAAAAGACGCTTAATTTGCGAACGAAGTTCAGAATCAACAAGGGTTCTCTGAACGAAGGGACTGTACAACTGGGGCACAACCCAACTTTTTTATTGGGGAGATAGAATGGAGTTCTTCACGAAGTTCGAGACAAAGGAAAAAAAATCAAAGTTTCTTTATAGCCTCTTCGTTTTGAGACATTATGGATTTGGGGTTGACCACTGTAACAAAAAAGGAATCCATAAAAACTTGGGACCCAACACCATGATAAAATACTACCCTCATGATTAGAGCGTGTCCCTGAGATTTGATAAAAAAAGGTTCATTAGTGGTTAATACATTGTAATTAGATAAGTTATTTGGAATATGACGGAACGAAAGACCAAGGAAAGGAAGAAGAATGCACCAAAATGCAAGTGCTGCACCATACGCTGGTGGTTGTTTCTTGTTGTAAGTGAATGCAACGAAAAGACCCGAAAAAAGAATAATGAGAAAATTCATTTATAGACATTTCGTGCTCATTTCCAAATTTATGCTTAGTTATTCCCATCATCCGGTAACCACAGGATGATCCCAATCTACTTTTAGTAATAGATATTTTTGATATGTCTGAGTCTCAGCGGCAAGGAAGAGAAAATGCATCAAGTAGTTTATCAAGAAAGTTGACGAGCATGGCGGTCCCTATACCTCTGAGGGGTGTACCACTTTTTTTTAAAGTCGGCTTAAGAGGTTCAAAATAGAAAGTCACTCTCCTTATTCTTGGCTAGTGGAATGGAAGCAAGATTCTTTCCTATCCACATTACCGAGGGGGAGAACTAAAAGATAACTCAAGCTAGACAGAAAGGTGCAAAAGTCCACAATTTCTTAAGGATCCTGTAAGCAAGTAGGTTAAGATTGTCATTTAGCTTCAATTTCTTCAGTCTCACAAGTGGGTCCGTATGCAACAAAAGAAATTGTATTTTCCTACTTCTCCGACCTTGCCCTGAAAGGATAAGGAAATTGGATAAGAGCGAGAGCTAGACTGAATGTTGGTCCAATGCTAGTGGAGGATTCAGACTGAGGAGCCCCTGTGGCGGCTACTCATAAGAAAACGAAGGATTGAAAGAGGACTGATCACCCCTCTGATTTGTGATCTTTTAATAGAAAGAAAAAGCCTTTTCTCGGACTTAAAGGTAAATGAAAGCGGGATTTTTTTCTCTCCTCTAAGCTAGCAGCAAGTCAAGTAATCCGAGAATGCTGCCCCCAATCCGTAGCTGAGGACGAACTCAACTCATAAGCTTTTTTTGAACCAACCACCTGTTGTAGAAATGAAAAGACACCCACTAGTAGAGGCTAGAACAACCCATAGAAGAGTAGGGGCTACTTCAACCAGGCGTACCCATATACATTGATTTACCTCCTCTAGAGAGTATTGAACTTTGTGACAAATAGGTTATATTTATACTCCTTAACTCCCTATTCACGAGATATAAAAGTTAGCTAGTAAGAAGACTTTCCCTTCTTTTCTGGGAGGGTGAGAACTTGAAAGACTGGCAGAGAAAAGGAAGAAAAGCGGCGAATGCTATCTCCACGATTATTTCAAAGTTTGCCAAGTTCGATCGTTCAGGGGACAGGGGACTCTTTTAAATAAGACAGTGTATGGCTGCGAATAAGTCTATTCCCTGGTTCTTCATTGGATCCTTTTAGTTTAATATTACTTTTTGGAAGCAATCTCATAATAATATGTATTAGGGACAACATTTAGGATAGCAAAAGCATTTTTGGAGCAACAGGAATTACCTTCCAGATTCTTTTGTGATACCCTATATGTTACCTTCTCCTGGATGGTCAGCCCAGTGTCCTGAATCCTTGAGCTCTTCCTCATGGCTTTGACTAGTGACTTACATTTCATCTTATTTGCAGCTCTCTTGGTCCTTGGATATGATGTCTTCTGCCACTCTCCTTGGTGGCTATTCTCCACCATCTCAGTCCCCTCTGAGGTCAGCTGAATCTGATCAGTGGCTGTCTCTGCCTAATCCACCAAGTGTGTACAAGACAAGATCTTTGTCTGTCACGGGTTCTCCTACTACTGCAAGTTGATCAGACTAGAATTTGATCCTGCACAGATAATCTTGAGCAGTCCGGGATCCTTTCTTGATCGTTTGGATCGGAATACGCAGCTCAATTATTTGAGCATTTGTCATACAGCCAAGACTTCGGTTTTTTTTCCAGGTTTTCTCCCTTTTCTATGAAGGTTTGCTGGTCCCCTGCACTAGTGAATTATTCTATTCTTCTCCTTTGATTCAGTTCGTGGGGAAATTAGAATTCACCATTGAATCCTGTGGATCAGCTCCCTTACGTAATAATATTTCACTATATCAGCTACGAGGGGAAAATCTGAAAGACAGAGGATAGAGAGTGAGAGAAAGAGTGTGAGACTTGCGCTGCTCTCCATTTCGAGGGGATTTCGATGATTCTGGGCTGATTGAACTATTTCTTTACCTGTTCAATTTCTAATGAATCAAGATATCCTCTTGTTCCGGTATAAATAGTAGCTATCTGCTCTTCCATTGGGAGAGAATTTGCCTGGGATTGTTTAAGCAATTCCCTTAATCGTCGACCCCTTGCCAATTGATTCTGACTTGTTTTATCGAGAGCAGAGGCGAATAATAGGCTTGTCACTCTGCGAATTGAGCTAGTTCCAATTTGGATTCGCCAGCTACTTGTTTCATGGCTTTAATTTGAGCGGCGGATCCTACTCTAGAAACAGAAATACCCACATTAATAGCGGGTCAAATTCCTGCATGGAATAGATCCGTAGATAACAAGATTTATCCATCTGTAATGGAGATTACATTAGTAGGAATATAGGCGGAAATGTCTCCAGATTGAGTCTCAACTATTGGTAAAGCGTTCATACTTCCTTCGCATAAAAGAGAATTTAATTTCGCGGCTCTTTCTAAAAGGCGTGAATGCAAATAAAAAACATCCCCTAGATAAGCCTCACGACCGGGAGGTCTTCTTAATAGAAGGGACATTTGGCGATAAGCTTGTGCCTCTTTGGAGATATCATCATAAATTATTAAAGTATGCCATTCGCGGTACATAAAATACTCAGCCGGGGCTACTCCCATATAAGGAGCGAGGTATTGTAATGTAGCAGGTGAATCCACCATTTCAGCTACTACAATAGTGTATTCCATGGCCCCCTCCTCATGGAAAGTAGTTACTACTTGAGCTACGGAGGATGCTCTTTGACCGATAGCTACATAAACACATATTACACCTTGTCCTTTTTTCTTGAGAATTGTATTTGTGGCTACTGCTGTTTTGCCAGTCTGTCTGTCCCCAATAATCACTAGTAGAAAACAGGGCATTTGTCCCGGTTCGTAAGGGCCTTTTGTCCCGGTTTAAGAATCGGGACTAAAAGGTCGGTACTAATGCCCTTGGCCTTTAGTCCCGGTTCTTACACGAACCAGGATAGATGGGCCTCTAAGTGGCCACTACGGGCAGCCCAGGCAGGGGGAGCCTTTGGTGACATAAACCGGGACCAAAAGGCATCCATGCGTCAGTAGCTGGCTGGAGCTGAGGTTTTTTTAGAAAAATTGGCTGGTTTAGGGGTTTTGGGGGTTAATTTAGGTTGTTATTAGCTAGATAATAGAGAGAAGTGTCCTCTCTTATATCTTTGTGCTTGGTTTACCAACACTACTGCTATGTTCATTTCACTCGCTGATATATAATAACTCTTCATGCTCGCATCATACATCATCATATATAATAACAAGTCCTACTAATCATGCATCATCATACAACTTCTACTCGTTATTAATAACAAGTCATACGATCATCATACTCATAGTCATCGAACCCAACCCTACATAATTGTTCTTAGCACATGATCATCAGTATCATGTAGGACCTAAACACACTTAAGGTAAAATAGCATAAAACAATATAGACCCTGACTCTCCATTATGAAGAATGGAGATCATCCTGTCTCCAATTCTTGTGCTTCACTTCCTTTTGCTTCCAAGAAGCTCCTTACGACTGTTGATACATTTTTTCCATTCTTTGATTGTCATGTCTCCACTTCTTTTAGAAATCCGGTATGGACAGTTGAGATTCATAGGACGACCTGATTGTATGTTCGAAACATCAAGGTGACCATGCGTATACATCAGATGAGGCACACAATCATTCGGGATTATCTGTTGAAAAACATAGTAATAACTTCGTAGTTAGCAATGATGTACTAGTTTTAGAGGTATGAAAAAGATGCACGGATGTCGTAATAGTTAAAAATCTTACCAGGGTATCTCCATGGTAGTTACCGTAGTTCAACACGTGCACTAGTGGCACGTATTGACCATAATGTTGAGGAGTTCGATTGTAGATATTGGAATTATCAAGATCAGTATAAAATGCGATCAGATGATTTTTCTCCTTATAAGTTAATTCGGAGCCATCGGTGTAGTGGGTTTTGTCTACCATCTTCCGCACATTCTTTGAAAAATGAAAATAAGCTGTCAATGGAAATAAGATGTCAACTATTTTGAAATAAATAATATAAATTACTTAATAACTATATTTGAGAAGCTCGCATGGGGGAAGAATTGGAAGTGTATCAACAAGGACCCAAATGTCCATATTGTCTTCCTCGATTGTAGGATCATCGAGATCCATGGTGACAAGCATACCCTCATCAAAACCATACATCTTGCAAAGTGCTTCCCAATTTTTGCAACCAAAATGGGTTACACTCACAGAATTGTACAACTTTACTTCAAAATCCACACCATGATGGGTCCTTAGGTGAATTTTTTTGGTTTCCATACTTTCATGGTCTTCAAAACCCATCCTCTCCAAGACATAGCGTCTTGCATAGCATGGGATAAGCTAGTCGAATTGGAAAAGATGAAAAATACACGTTAAAATAGTTGAAGTCGTGCTTAATTACGAAAAAAACTATTGTCGTCGTTGCGTAATGTTTCAACATAGAAGGTCTCCTCGATCTTAATGCTGAAGCGCCGATCTTCGTCCAGCTGAAGGAACCTGTCGCACATACCTCGGTCGTCGTGGCACCAGTCGCACTCCCCCAGGCAGGTTTCGTCGTCCGAGTACGGCATTTCTGGCCTATGTTCATAATTCAAATATTAAACTTGTACAATTAAATATATGTACTAAAAAACCTAAATTAGATCATTAATATTAATGACGGGTTGACTATCGGTGATGGTAGCTCCTCCTTTCATTCCCGAGTGCATTATTACACATGAATGAAGGAGAAGCTACCCCCACGACGGCGTGGATGATGGAGGGGGCTCCTACATTTCTACATAGTGCTCTTCAATTTTAGCATTCAAAGTAGGAGTACTTTTCCGATATGAGCATTCAATAAGCAAAACCAAATCGTAAAATAGTATTCAAATTAGCATGCATTCAATTATAAGCATAAGTACATCATCTCTTGTGTCCGTACATTGTCAAATATTATCACTAATACTCCTCGAATACTATCATACATATAGCATCACTAATACAGCTAGAACCGTAGAGCCCGACAGGTATCGTCACGGGCGGTGGACACCCAAAGATAAGGAACTATCATAGGATCATAGATCTAGTGAGATCCCTAAAGAACCTGCCAGGTATTGTCGAACCTGCCCTCCAACGCAACCATGTAGCAATGGACGTGCTCGTCCTCCTCGCTAACACGGTAACGTACCACCTCCGCGGTGTCCGGAAGCCTCGGCACCGTCACTGGCCCACGCGACCACCACCAAACAAGGATCGGGTCAACAACGGGCTGGCTCCTCACCAAACTACGCCCCTCGGAAGGTAGCACCTCCCAATACCAGCCCGGCGGAGCCCAGTCCCGGACATGGCCCTAATCAAGCAGGCCTCCACCGCCAAGTCGACGACGAGGATGTGAGATAGGCATTGTCGACGTCGATGTGGGAACTACTTCTATATATAATAAAATAAAGTAGTTTTATTAAATCAACTACTAAGCACTTACTATAAATAAATAAAGTGGTACTTACTAAAAATAAACTACTTATATAGTAAAATAAAGTAGTTTATTAAATCAACTAGTTCAACTATATATTAAGCACTTACTATAAATAAAATAAAGTAGTACTATACTAAAAATAAACTAGTTTAACTAGGTCTATTAGTTTCCTAACTAATTATATTAAACACTTTCTATTCTTATTTTCCTTTTTCGTCTCCCGCCTTTTTTTTCTAAATATGAACATATACATAAATGACTTCGATCATACACAATTTTCCTATACATACACAATATGAACATATACATAAATTCACAAAGAAAATTCTATGAACAAAAAAATCATTAAAATTGTATGAACAAAATTAAAACAGAAAAAATCATAAAAATTCTATGAACAGAAAAAAATCATAAAAATTTGACATATTCGATCTTTGCATATATATGAACATACAAACATGCATATTCAACAATAATATCACCAAAAAAATCTATTAACAGAAAAAATCGAACACAATATGAAAAAAAATCTAACAAAAAAATCTATGAACAAAATCTAACTCAATTAACTACACATCTAAATTAACTACACATCTAATTAAACCTATGAACAAAATCTAACAAAAAAATATATGAACAAAATCTAACTCAATTAACTACACCTCTAAATTACTACACATCTAAATTAACTACACGTCTAATTAAACCTATGAAAAAAAATCTAGGAACAAAATCTTTGAACAAATTAAAATCTATGAACAAAACCTAGCTCACCGGATGGCGACGGCGTGAGGGGCGCGGGGAGGGCGATGGGCAGGGGACGGCGACGACAAAGGTGCGTGAGGGGCGGCGTGGCGACGGGCGACTGTGAGGGGCGGCGCGGCGGCAGACGATGAGCGAGGCAGGGGCCGGCGGCGTCGCAGGGCACGGGGCGCGGGGAGGTGACGGCGTCGGGGCGGCGCAGGACGGCTTGGGGCGACGACGGCGACGGCGAGGTGGAGAGGGCAGCTTGGCTGCGTCGGGGCGGGGAAGAACTGAATGAAATTTTGACGAGTATCAGTTATATAGACAACGCATTGGTCCTGGTTCATGAGACAAACCGGGACTAAAGGGGGGGCATTGGTACCAGTTGGTGGCATGAACCGGTACCAATGCACCCCTTTAGTCCCGGTTGGTGCCACCAACCGGGACTAAAGGCCTTGTGCTGCC